AATCAATTGGGCCCAACGCAATCAAATATTTTCTCTGCAAAGGGAGATAACATTTGACATGACAAACTCTGTTCTGTAAGGTGAGAAAGAGATTAAACAGTCACAGTCATCAAGTAAATCTGATGAAAGGTATAGTCTTTCACATAAGTGCAATTAAGCATTAATTTATTTGGGAACAAGGTGGGACTCCTGTTCATTGGAAAGTATTCAAATTAATCAGAAATCATCTTTTCTTTTTCATTCCTTTTTTTTTTTTTTTATATAAGCTTAACTTAAAAGCTATTAATGCAAAAATTACTAAGTTGAGACCTTGGACTCTTTTCTTCAAAATCAGATTAGTTTGTTAACTTAATTAGGCAAGAGAAAGTTGGAAACTACTAAACAGAATTATTCAGTCCAAACAAATCAACAAGACTTCCATCAAGACCTAAAAAATATTTCTCAATATATCAAAATATTTTGTAAAATAAGTTCACTGTAATTTCACACAATGAAGATAGGTCCTGAGTCTCCTGCTGTTCTATTTCAATATTCTGAGAGTGAAATTTTTCATATTTTCTTATTTATTCTTTGTTATACAATATAACACAAGATTATTTAAAAAAAATGTAAATCTGTCCCATGTTGCAAAAGCTTATCATTTCCACCAACTGAAACAAATGTCAGTACAAACTTTCCTTCTGGAAATTTTATAATTCTGTGATTCTACCCTGAAGCTAAGATAGATTAAGATTTTGATGAAGGATAAAATCCTTCTTGGAGCTAGGACTTCCATTCTGCACGTACTTGAATTGAGACATCTTAAATCTGACTAAAGTTTGGGAGCTAACTATTCAGCCATTGAGTAACAAGTCAAGTGAAATAAGGGAACTTTCATAGCAAAAAGGTGCCCTGTTTCTGAAGGGCTAAAATATGGGGTAAACCCATCTGTTTCCTGTGAGTTTTGTTCCTTATACTTTGTTTGGAAAACAAGCCACAAGTTTGAAATTAAAACACAGTTACAGAAGGGCCGTAAGTAAAAAGAAAAGTAAGAAAGGGAATGATTTTATACTTTACAGCTTTTTTTTCTGAAGAAATTTAAACGAACTTTAACCACAAGATATATTAGATTCATGATATTCAGGTATATCCTGTCTGCAAGGCACCAGTGTGGTGAGGTTTTTTCTGAGACTTCTGTCAATACTCTCCCCAAGCTGCAGATTTTTGAGTTTGAACATATTAGTCATATGGCAGCTAAACAAGGACAAGCTATTTGCACAATAATTTGCTTCTTAGTTTCAGAACGGTGTTCAAAAACCATGCAGCAGGAGTATAGCTTTCTCTGAGGCGGTTATGTTTTGGAAAATAATGTTTTGGATGTCAGGCTAAGCTTAGGAAGTTTCCATCAGCCACCCACTCTCACTGAAAAGTCCAGTGCTTTAGAAAACCTGATTACTGTGTTTTTACACTGAGCACTTCTGAAGACATTATACCTCACAACACAGTGCACAGAGTAAGTAAAATGGTGGGGGTTACATTCAAAAGGCACAACACCTACAATGCAATGTGTTATGAACAAGGCACAGTAGGCTACAGGATTAACTGCATAAGCAGGCTCTGTAATACGTTAGGGCAGGAGGGGCAAAGTCACCACCTCTGCTGTGGGCATGGTGACCGTGCATGATGACTTCAGTCTAAAGGACCTCAGCCTAAGGATGAGGCCAAAGTCCCCAGCATTCGTCTCTGGGCAAGACACTGCAGGATCACAGCCAACCTCAACATTAACTTTGATGTTGTTATACTCATGTAATCATATTTTTAGTTCTTTCATGCTGAGGTTTCCATTTCTGATAGACAAAAGATATCGATCTAGTCATGTGTATATTACCAGCTCTGTTTCTACAGTTCTTCAAGATCAGTCACGTTGTTATCATCTCGAACTCCTACCCAGGGTACTTATTCTGTCAATTTTCTTTCTTTTTCTGTTCTTTCTAGCTGACCAACAGCAGAAAAGTGAGAGTTGTCAGGAGTCAAGGAGCTTAAGCCCTCATCACAGCTTTGACAAATCACAGTTAAATGACTGCCCAAGAGATTCTGGCTGTTACATCTCATCAGAAAACTCAGATAATGGTAAAGAAGAAGTAGGCCCAGAAACTTTGTCTGACATGGTGCAGTCAATAACAATCACCGAGTGAAACTGATTCAGTCCTCCTGCTTTTCTGCAGATTTTCAGAAAAGACAAACATATTTGCCAGTATGAAGGCGCAGAAGCAGAACACAAAATCCTCTCAACGCCAAAAATCTACTTCTGTCTGATGTATGATGCTCTAGATTGTTTAATATGTGGACACTGGACAGCTAAATGTTAGCTGACAATATCTCACGCTTTTCTTTTCAATGAATCCACAGACTTTTCACTGAAAAAGTTTATACAGATGTATTTATAAGTATTTGTACAGCAAATGCATTTTCTATAATACTAGAGAATTGTTTTAGGTAATGGTACATAATTTGGATATGTTAATTTCTAGAACTGTCCAACATGTAAATATTGTACATATTTATTTTAAAAAGACATGGATTAATCACACTGCCTCTATTTTCAGATGTGTTTTGCTGATATTTGTACAGAATGTATTTTCATTGATACGCCATCCTAACAAAAAGTGGATATATTCACATACTACTTTGAAAAGCACCAAGCTAATTCTCACTAACATTAAAGCTGTTTCATATGATTCTTCTTCAAAATGGGCTCTAAAGTAGACTATCATCTCCTACACTTTATCCCAGAAGTACGATAGAACTATAGTGTGAATCTGAACCAAGATCTCTGTGCTCATTATCTTTTAGAGAATGTAGCCATCTGAATGGCTTATGCGCTAGCAATTCCTTTACTGTTATTTTCACGTGTTCTCATTCTTCCCAAGCATTATACAGAGAACGCAAGCTTGGAGAAAAAAAAATCAGCATCAATGCTATGCTTTTATGGTCATTTTTTGTGAAGCTCTTGCCTTTTGTGTGTGGTGTGAATTTTGTTAATAGAATGTTTGTATACAAAATTCTGGAGCTAATATGGTCATTGTGCACTATTGTCTTTCATATGAGATTTTATGGTCATTTCCCAGGATATTTTGCACTGAAATACACATTTTTAACTGTTTGTCTTCTTTTAGAGCATTTCCTTCAATAATAAACAGAATCATGTGTTTGAGCCCTTTAAAAACTACTTGATTTTTAATGTGGTCATTACATTTCAAAGACTGTTCTGTTTTAAGACTAACACAGGAAACGGCAGCTCCACTGAGCATTTTTATCATGCATAGTAATCTGTGTAACAAATCAACAGAGAAACGTTTTGCTCACTTATTAGTCACACAATTTTCATAATTTAAGACATTTTGCATTTATGTTAAAAACCTGCCACATATTGCTGACAGATTAAAAGAAAATCACCTTCAGGAGAGATGAAACATGGAAAGTTCCAAAAAGAGTATTTCTGAAGAAGCTATAAACAAATCATAAGCTTTTCTTCCCCCCACCCTCTTTTTTTTTTTTCTCCAATGGAAATCTTTTCTGCCGTTTTCATGACCACTCAGATGGCTACTGCTGTCAGACTCCTAATATGCAGATCTGCTTTGAAGGCTATAGTATAAAAATTGTGATTTTACAAAACTGCATAAAGATTCAGAGTAAATAAACTCTGGTTAGAAAAATAACTAGGAATGAAAGATACTAAGATTTGTTTCTGGATTTAGATTACTTTTTACGCTGGCAACAATCATCATTTAGCAGCAATCACCTCATCTTGCCAGATGCACAATCTCTCGATGGGATGAAGTATGTGAAAGCTTGTATCAAGCAACTGTACTTGTTTCTTAATACTTTTCTAACCAGTAGTGTGTCATAACACACAGTACTTAGTTTACTTAATAGGATTTTAGTAACTTGTGCAGCAATGTATTGGGATTGTCTTCTGTCATGTCCTCATTCTAGAGAAGGACTATGGTTGAATTCCTCTAAGAGGGGCTTATCTTTTGGCTTTTATGACAAAGGCATTTAGTGTCAGGCTGTTTTTATCTAGACATCTGTGAAACTGTTGAACCTGTAAAAACACCCTGAGATTAATTTAAATATGATTTTCAAGAAACAGCTATGTTAGGTAAGTAATGGACTAAAAACCACAGAGACCTGAGATGTTCTGTAATATAACTACTCTGAGAAATATTTGCATAGCTTTGCAAATGAAAATAGGCCTCCCTAACTAGTTACAGTGAGACAGACAAGGCTTTCAACACAGCAAAATACCCAACAGCTGCTATGATTGTACAGGAACGAAACCCTGCATGGCCTGGGCTGATGGTAAGAGGATAAAGATGTAAGGTTAAGTGGTCGCTAGCTGTGGGCATGAGCTGTGGTTTAGCCACTCTGTTTCTGATCAGTAAGGCACTGTCCAAAGGGCTTCTTTAGAAAAGAAGTTTAGAAAAATGTGTCAACTGAAAGCTTGTTCAAGACATTTGTAAGTTCCTGCAAAAGCAGAGCAGATTAGATCTCAAACTGAGACATTTCCGTTCTCTCAAGCTATTCTGAGAAAAAGAATGAGGAAACTTCATACCACAAAGAAAAAAAATTAATTTCCTGCAAGAAGTATACCCAACCTTCTTTCATCTCTCAGTGGTCTCTTTTATTACACTGATCATGGCTTAAACTGCAATTGTGCAAAAAGTTCTCTGACCAGCTTTAGCACTGGGCAATATGAATGAAAGATAATTCTAGTCACTGTTGGAGAAAATCTGGTGATCTGAGCTACTTTTGAGGAATCTTTAAAATGTCGCAGAGATAGGGAAGAGAAGCAACGAGCTGAGGTTTTGTTCCTCTCTGTCACTTGCTCAATGGTGTCACTCCCTTTTCACTTTTATTAACCTTCCTCAATGATTAAGGAGGACTATCAAGTTAGCAAGTCTCTTATTTGCAGATAACCCAGGGTCCGCAGTTCTCTGCAGCGACAAGCGTAGAAAAAGATGCAAAACCAGTGTCAACAATAGCAGAGGTGAAGCTAATGCGGTTAGCCCTACCAGTCTTTAGCTCATGGGGCCTTCCCTAGCCACAGAGGGCTGCGGTGCGGGTACAGCTGACCTCCCCCCTGGGGCTGTGGTGCTGGGCTGGCCACTGGCACATGTGCTGCCACCTGTCCACAGCAGAAAGCCCGTAACTCAGAGAGATTTAGGTGACCCACTGAAAAATTCAGGTGATAGTGGGCACCCTTGTCCCCAGGGAAGAACCACCTCAGGTCAAAGTTAAGGTTGTTTTTACCAGTGTTGCCTCATGCTCAGCCCCATTTGACTGCCGCTCACAGCTGGCATGGAATTAAAGGAGGGCTGCTCTTTTGTCGAAGAGGGTAGCAGTGTGTCAGATGCCAGCCCTGCGATCCATGCGGACCAGCCTGCAGATCCCAGGAGTCAGCATCCTGCTCTCCAGGGATTGCAACAAACTTAGGAAATTCTGTGGGTATAAATCCACCAGCATAGAGGCTAGGAGCAAGGAGGGGTTTACATTCACTTTGCTGAGGTGTGAATGAACACATGAAGCATAAAGCGGAACACGGGCAGACCTGTGGAAATTCTGGAGGAGACTGACCTCCAAGGGAATCAACTAATTACAGGCTGCCAGCTGGACTTTGCAGCACCTGCACAACCCTCTGAGCCCAGTAGTCCAGCCAAATTTCCACCCACGTGACTGCTCAGTTATCTGTCCCATACTTCACCAGTGCTACCACTGAGTGGCCGGTCTCTCCTGTCATGTGAGGAAGCCCACAGCTCACTGGCTATGATATAAAAGGGGCCTTTACACCTTAGCGCTTGCTCCCAGGCAGTGGTACTTAATTTCTGGCATTGTCAAGGGATCTGCATTAAACTGGTGGAGCCATGAGAAAAGAAGGCTGGTACAGAGAGTACAAGGAAATATGGAAAGAAAAAAAAGGATGCCTCAAGTGCTGTGAACCAGATAGGCCATTTTCTAGTTGTCACCAGGTTCATAGGATGAGTACAACCTGCCCCTTTCCCTGGAGATTAGCTGTTCCACCAAGCCAAGGTCAGTACAGTTCATTCTGCCCACAGATACACGCATACATACACATAGAAATCTGTAGTGTCAGCAATTAAAGGAAGACATGCCATAGACTCTTTCAGTGCCTTGGGTCACATTAGCAGCTTGGTGCCTATCCTAGACAGCTTTGATGGCAGTTTTGCAACCGAGTCACATGCCATCAGAGATGGCTGAGCCTTTCTTCATGTCAGAGAGTAGTTCCATCATGTCTAGTAACAGCACAGAAAACTCTCTGCCTGCTTTTCACAGCTCAAAGCTGAGGTTTTGGGTTACATTAGCCACTGAAGATGTTATTTGTATCACGCTCTGATGCCTGCTGGCTGTGTATGTTGTAGTACTGCTTTGTGCAATGACGTTCTTTGTTCCAGGAATGTGTTACATAGGATGGTATAAGCATCTTCTTCTGGTCTAAGAGTTCCTGCATGAGGTGTTCACTTTGTCCCTTATCTTTAGTTCCTGGTAGACAATGAGCAGATTTTTCCCTCCAACTCAGGGGAGAATATGGAAGAGGCTATAACATGACTGTATATGTACAGAGCATTTTGTGTTTGTCTTACCTGATGGACTCAACAGAACATGGAAAAAGGAACTGAACGGTAAGTAATACTCCTAGTTTTAGGGTAATACAGCTGTTAAATCTAGAGTCACATCATGGATGCAAAATAAACAGCAGTCATTACAATGAACTTGAATTTCTTGGGAAATACATGTTCTCTAGAAGGAGGAAAGGGGTGGGAGGAGGTCCATGATAGACTAGGGGGATCTGAGATGGTAATTTCATTTTTTGTGGCTAGGCAGAATTTGGTCTGACATGCCTAGCAGTCTCTGCTGGGCATGAGATCTGTCTGCTGACAGCAGGAGCACAGATAATCTGCCTGTGCAAGGAAGTCATGCATGAATGAGGGACAAGACGGTTGGAGGGCAACTGGTGTTCCTTAACAGTTCACATACCTTGGCTGCTTAATTTAAACCTGGCCAGTGTCCCACAATGTGTGAGTTCTCTGGGCAAAATTCTCACCTCCTAAAGCCCATTCCCCATGCCAATCAACTACACTAATGCCCTTCTATTCACTGGTGCTCTAGCGTGTGGCTTTCTCAAGTGATTCACATTCAGAGATCTCAGATGTCAAAGTCTGATTCTCCATGGCTCCTCTGTGCTCAGTCAGTGAGGGTTAGATTCACTCTTACTACTGTCCCATTACTTTCCCATTATAGAAACTGTGTAACCCAGGTTTCCCAGAATACCTGTCTCCCTTCCTCAGCCATTGTTTCT